CTATTAAATGAAGTATATTTTGACCGTTTTATTGACTGCAAAAGTGTTGGCTCTTTGTTCAACATTTCCAGTCAAAGCCATTGCGTTCACGAAGAATATTAAACTATTTGAATAAATAATTAAATAGAGCAAACACGTTAAGAATATATGATTTTGCTAATTTTATCATTTCAAAACATACATGTGTATGAAATATTTACAATTTTTATATTAATCAATACAATCGATGTAATACTATCGATTAAATTTTATAAAAACATAAAATAATAGGACTATATAAAATTGTAATATTAATTTAATATTGACATTAAATATTTATTTGGATTCAATATAACAATCAATATATTGGTTCTCAGATAAGTTGCTAAAAACACGCATTCTATATAAATAATTTATTTATTTTTATAGTACTATTACTTAGTTGGGAACCTATCGAGTGGAGCTTTCCGGTTCCGGTACAGGTTGTTATGTATGGATGGAGTGTGGCCGCGAGAACGATATTCAATCATTAAATCGTGCCAATGGCCACAAACATGAGAGTTATGGCCAAATTTATGATCAGATATACAGTGCTTAATGCATAGTATTTTTTAGTGAATGACATTACAAATGTTAATCATCATTTCTCAATGCATAGAGATGTATATAATTGATTAGAAATAAGGTTATAACGCGGGTGTTTGTGGCCATTGGCACGATTTGATGATTGAATATCATTCTCGTGGCCACAATCTACCCATACATACCAACCCGTACCGGAACCGGATAGCTCCACTCGATAGGTTCCCAACTTAGTTATAAAACTATTACAAATAAATGCTATTAATGTACTGTTAATTAACAGAACAATTAAAACATTCTTTTGTTGTTAACTGTATGTCAGATATTTATTGTGATCATTGATCAACTATGCTCTAAATTGGCTTTTAGCTGTTTGTTTGGTATATAATATACGATCTCATGTATGTAATAGGCTATTACTAATAGCTATTACTAATAACTAAGAGCCAATTCAGAACATACTAGCTCATAATATGTTTATAAAAATTTCAATTATTCAATTTACATTTTACACAGGAAATATCCTTGAAATCCAAACATGTATTTTATTAATTAAATGATGGTGACTTAAATGGGAAGGTTAGCAAAACATACATGTAGATGTAAATACAGCTTCTTAAATAACACCAGCAATAAAATCGAACTTGTCTATACCAGGAATTTGCAATGCTAATTCATTTTTTAAGCACAATAAATTTATTACCGCAGTGTACATTTATATTAGCATTAAAATTTATTATATCTTTAATATATTTAATTCAATTAATTTGCTAACTATTCATAAACATTACATATAAACTTTACTTAAACAAAACAGTTATTAATATTTTCACGGTTAACAGTAGTTATGAAATTGTAACTTATATTTATATTATGTCTAGTTTAAATGTGTTAATTATTTTGTATCAAATTACAATAATTATATTTTAAATAATCTAAACATCCTGCTGACATAGGCATTTAAATTCGTGCAAATAAAATTGCTAATTAATTCTCTGTCTGTATCACTAATATTTTACCTATTTTACAATTAATAATATAATCATAATATAAACTAAATTATGATAAAAATAAAATTAATTGAATATTTATACATTGCGTTTACAAATCATACAAATAAAATCAAATAAAATGAAAAGATTTGCCCCTCAAATGCCATTTCCTTACACCACATATTCTTAGGCGGTTTGCAATTAGTGCACGAATTGATAAATATTATAATACATGATAAAAGTAATAATAAATGTATAATTACTCAAACAATTAATGAGCGATGCATTTGATCGATGAAGTGATGAATGAGGGGATCATTTAAATGATCAATTATTGGGCACTTAATCACAACCTTTGGTTTTTGGAAAACCAATGCTTTATATAAAACGAGTTTTACATTTAAATACGAATATATCTATGATTTCACATTGAATTACAAATAATTTATAATTAAAATACAGAAAGAAATTAAAAAATGCTTTTTATTCTCAACTAAAAAACACAACATTTGCTGAATATTTAACTCATATTCGCAAACAGTCTTGAGTTTTGAGACGACTATAAAGAAGGCGTAAATAATAAAATCAATATAAGAGTAGATATAATGGGATGAATAGAGAGAAGCAATGTTCACATATTTCTTGTGCTCACAAAATACATATACAGTGAACACATCAAAGATTTCTCTATATTTCTATATAACAATATATAGTGTACTTTATATACAGAATCAACACAAATATTCTTCAATTACTATTCAATTCAATACAAACAGTATTGCAATGAATACGAGTACAGAATAACACGGAATGCATACCAACTTCACTGACATCTATCGCATACAACGCTTCACTCAATTAAATGCCTTCAAAGACATGTCACATGTGTTTAGCACACAATGTGCTACACATGACCGGTGTTTACTGTTTAGCTGTTCATTGGTTTACAATTACAATCATATAATCATTTAGCAGTAAATCATGCCTAAAGTGAAGACACAGAAGAAGTGTCGGCCACACAATGAGATCCAGAAACAGGGCATTGGCTTTGATAAGGGTTTGGGTCAACACATACTGAAGAACCCGTTAATCATCACAAATATGATCGAAAAGGTTTGCAATGAATGGATATATCATTTGAATGACTATTAAAACAATTGTATGACTTCTTGACGTGAAGGCGAGTCTACGGCCGACGGACACAGTGCTAGAAGTGGGTCCGGGAACCGGTAATATGACTGTCAAACTGCTGGACAAATGTAAACAAGTGGTTGTCTGCGAAGTGGACACAAGACTTGTGGCCGAACTCCAGAAGAGAGTGCAGTCGACGCCAATGCAGAACCGATTGAAGATAATAGTGGGCGACGTATTGCACAAAGAGCTGCCATTCTTCGACGTGTGTGTGGCTAACCTTCCGTATCAGATATCGTCACCGTTTGTGTTCAAACTGCTACTCCATCGGCCATTCTTCCGGTGCGCTGTTCTTATGTTTCAGAAAGAGTTCGCCCAAAGACTGGTCGCAAAACCGGGCGATAAGTTGTATTGTAGACTATCGGTGAACACACAGCTGTTGGCGAGAGTGGATATACTGATGAAAGTGGCCAAAAACAACTTCCGGCCGCCGCCTAAAGTGGAGTCCAGTGTAATCCGTTTGGAACCCATTAATCCGCCGCCAGATATCAACTTCAAAGAGTGGGACGGATTGTTGAGAATCTGCTTTATGCGCAAAAATAAGACACTTTCCGCTCAATTCAAACACAACTATGTGTTGGATATGTTGTCCCATAACTATCGCATCCATTGCTCTCTCAATAACATCCCAATCGATGATGACTTTGACATTAAAGTGAAAATACAACAAATTCTTACCGACAATGAGTTTGATTCGAAAAGAGCCCGAACTATGGATATCGACCACTTTCTCACTCTTCTACACGCTTTCAACTCTAATGGCATTCATTTCACTTAATATTCATTTTATTGTATAAATGTATTAAAACTATAGATTTATTCATCAAATGTTAAATAAAACAATCAATTATATGACCAAAACAATTATGGTTTAGAGAGCCATTCAATCGTGTCATTAATCTGTTAAACAAATGAAACGATCAGACATTGAATGAGACTCTACTGTATTGTCTTATCGTTCACCTCAACGAACCAAAGAGTTCCCGGTCTGAAGATTTGCCTCGAAATCCACGACATTTGCGAAATGGGATACATTAGATGCAAATGAAGGTGAGATATACTGGTGAATGGCGGCCAATGGAAACCCATTCTGCACGCCATCATAGGGTTGGGATCAGATGGTTAGGCATCACTACAATTAACTATTGTCTGCAAACTTGCCTTAACTCTGTTTCATTAGTTAATCCTTTAGAGGACATGAACTGCACACCAATTGTCTTCATTTCCTTAACTGTAAATTCAATTCATTTTGTAATTAAATGTCATTTAAAATGCAATATAAGTGCAAAATGCGGACTCATTTCAATGCCTTCCGTAGTCTTCATTTGTTTGGCATTTTTAATGTGTTTTTTAGTGATCAGTAAGTAGTGGTGATCGACAGCCGGACGGATGTCTTGGATTATCACATAATTGTTATCCTATAATACAGTAAACATTCATTATATTCATGAATGGATAGTGAAATTGAGACTTCATATAAAAGTGTGGTTTCATTGGATGACTGCTTGTGAGCGATGGCACAGAAAGGGCAGCCCTTCTGCACCACACCATCCGATGCAGTGTCCGAACCCATGTCTCCCACACCAGACATCGCTCGCATTGAGTGCACTGCAGATCACGTGATAGACAACACTTACAGAAACTTCTAGAGCTGTGAATCATTCATCGATCACTCCTTCGCCTAATAAAGTACGCCATAAAGGGGTCGACGTGTATGTCGTGTATGACCTGTCCGTACGCTTACTGTACTATACATTAGCAGTGAAGGGGACGGCAATCGGTGTGACTATAGTGTGACGTATGGTATGAACGAGTGATTCAAGCATTTCTGGAAAGTTCTAGAGTTTGTGTGAAAGCATTGGAAAGGAATATAAGGAGAGATCGAGTGATCGCTGAAAGCATTGAAACATTTCATTCAAAGAGACATACATTCAAAGCATAACTGAATTGAAGTCATATTAAACTAAATTGAATTGAATTAGTGTTGAATCGGTATTACTGTGACTATCATTGCTGTGATTAGTATAATAATAATATCATAAGTGATGGCGAAAGTAGCGGCGATTGGTATCGACTTGGGAACTACTTACTCGTGTGTTGGAGTGTTCCAGCATGGTAAGGTGGAGATCATCGCGAATGACCAAGGTAATCGCACCACACCTTCCTATGTGGCCTTCACTGACACCGAGAGACTGATCGGAGACGCGGCTAAGAATCAGGTGGCGATGAATCCGTCGAACACTGTCTTCGACGCCAAGCGACTGATTGGCCGCCGGTTTGACGACTCGTCGGTTCAGTCAGATATGAAGCACTGGCCCTTCGATGTGGTCTCAGACGGCGGCAAACCTAAGATCAGAGTCGACTACAAGGGAGAGTCGAAGCAGTTCTTCCCCGAAGAGATCTCATCCATGGTTTTGGAATCACACATAAATAATATTAAATAATTGTCGAGAGAATACTTTAGGCATTGGTTGGGGTAGTGGTTGGGGTGTTGGCGCTGTTGGCACTGGTGATGGGCCTGAGATTACATTACGGAATTATTATACTGTATGTTCAAAATATAACAAATAGTGATTCAAAAATAATTTTATTGTAAGTTTTATAAAAGAGTAAAACAATCACATATACTATGAGTGCTCTGATCTGATATCACGACTCATACCTAAAAACAATTGATATCTCGATTAAAAACTATATAATATTTTTATAATAAGTTAGTGGTTGTTATATCAGTTTATGAATATATATAATATATAAATACTATTAAATCCCAATATATTATTATACATAACAAGTGGACGATCTCTGAATCAGTCAAATATTTTAGGTAAATATGTGAATATCTGGAAACTAAAGAATTGGTTTTATTGTTGCGATCGCTTCTCAATGACTAGAAGTGTTGTCACACTTTTATATTGTTATTAATTGCAAAGACATAACCAATTCGAGTAAAGATCCGTCTGACGGCTCCTCTCAGTGGAGGCTTTAGATCACAACAAATCAAATCACATAACAATCGATAATAGGCTGATGTGTGGCTCCGGAACTATAATGCAATCACAACCAAACGTTAAGTTTGTATAATAGCAACAAAATGTGACATTTAATACCTTATCGTCGCTAAGTTTATGTAATTTACATAATATGAGAACCATTAGTGGAGTCCACGTCTCCTTATGGCCTTCCGCTTCCAAAGACATAAAGTGCTCCAACGCTGCCATACATACACTAGAAATGTACAAAATATGTTTAGCATATACTTATTGCAAATACAGTATCACTTATAATTGAAATGTATGGACAAAAACCTCATAATCTTTTGGTCAACAGTAGGCCAACAGTCTTGTCGTGTTTCGTCGGAAAAGAGTCGGAACAGTATTCTAAGAGCACAACAAAGACTTCTGACTTCTTGATTGAGAAGATTGGGTTTATCGACTCGATTGTGGAGACCATATGTGGCTGTTTTCACGGCCCCAACACTGACGATGGCGTGCAGTTGCAGATCATTAAGGCATTGCTCACAACAGTCACTTCCCATTCCTGTCAGGTTCACGAGGGGAGCATTTTGCTGGCCGTCCGCACCTGTTATAACATATATCTGGGCTCTAAGAACCTCATCAATCAAACCACAGCGAAGGCAACTCTCACTCAAATGCTTAGCGTTATCTTCAGTCGAATGGAAGCGCAAAATGAGGACAAAACGGTAGCCAATTGTGAAACAGTAGAAAATGCAATCAATGGTAACGTTGAAGAAAACGTTAAGAATTACAGCAGTGATGACATCGCAGCCATCGATGCAGTTGTTGAAAGTCTTGTCAATGATATGATTGAAAGGGTTGTGAACGGAGATATAAAACTAGACGTGGAGTCTAGTGTTGAATTCAATGGCGATGGAGTGGACGTGTCGTCAATGGGTGCTCGCATTCCTTCGTCGGAAAGTCTGGAAACGACCGATTCTTCTGCCATATCTAACGATACAATTCACTTGAGTTTCACTCATGTCCTCCAAAAAGACGCTTTTCTAGTGTTCCGATCGTTATGTAAGCTAAGTATGAAACCCCTGCCCGACGGACACCCGGACCCGAAATCACACGAACTTCGATCCAAAATATTATCACTTCAACTCATTTTATCTATACTTCAAAACTCTGGGCCAGTGTTTCAATCGAGTGATATGTTTGCGGTTGCGATCAAACAATACTTATGCGTTGCGCTCTCGAAGAATGGGGTGTCAAATGTTCCCGAAGTGTTTGAGCTCTCATTAGCCATATTTCTAGCACTACTTCACAAATTCAAAGTTCACTTAAAAATGCAAATCGAAGTGTTCTTTAAGGAGATATTCCTCAATATTCTGGAGACAATCAGCAGTTCCTTTGAACACAAATGGATGGTTATTCAGGCGTTGACCAGAATATGCGCCGACGCCCAGAGTGTTGTCGATATTTATGTCAATTATGATTGTGATCTCTCATCAGAGAATATATTCCGACGACTCGTCAATGACTTATCAAAGATAGCTCAGGGAAGGGGACAGATGTTGGACGCGGGCATTATTACGTCCACTCAAGAGAGAAGTATGCGAATCAAAGGCTTAGAGTGTTTGGTATCGATTCTCAAATGTATGGTTGAGTGGAGTAAAGATCTTTACATAAATCCCAATCAATTGGCGAATTTGGGTCCAGAAAAGACCGACAATAATATCAATAAAGAGAACACAAATGCGGCCGAAGAGCCGATTGACGATCACTTCAATTCGCAGAACCCATTGGGAGGAAGCAATTCGGTGTCAACGAAGACGTTAGAACTCGATAGCCCTCAACAGTACGAAGAAGTGAAACACCAGAAGGATATCATAGAACACGGAATCTCATTGTTTAATTTGAAACCAATGCGTGGAATCGCTTACCTTCAGGAACACAATGTCATTGATAGCAGCGCTTCGAGTGTCGCACATCTGTTCCACACAAACGATATGCTCGACAGGACACAAGTGGGAGAGTTCTTGGGAGACATCGACTCTTTTAATCGGGAAGTGATGTACGCATACGTGGATCAAATGGACTTCAAGGGCAAAGACTTTGTCTCAGCGTTGCGTTCATTTTTAATGGGATTCCGTCTTCCAGGAGAGGCGCAAAAGATCGACAGACTTATGGAGAAGTTTGCCTCTCGTTATTGTGAGACGAATGTGAATAAAGGCCTGTTTGCGAGCGCAGACACCGCTTACGTGTTGGCATATTCTATAATTATACTGACGACAGACCTCCACAGCGGACAAGTGAAGAATAAAATCACTAAAAATCAATACATTGTTATGAATCGCGGAATTAACGACAGCAAAGACCTGCCCGAAGAGTATTTGTCGCAGATTTACGACGAGATCGCCGGCAGTGAAATCAAGATGAAAGCGGATCATCCGAATCGACGCAAAATGGGTCGAGAGGTGGCGAGTGAGAAGACACGACGACTTCTCTACAACATGGAGATGGAGTCCATGGCCTCCACTGCCAAAGCATTGATGGAGAGTGTGTCTCACGTCGAGGCACAGTTCACTTTAGCCAAACATCACGAACACGTGAGACCGATGTTCCGAATCGCGTGGACACCCTTTTTGGCTGCATTTAGTGTCGGTCTTCAGGACTGCGATGACCCAGAAATTGCGTGTTTGTGTTTGGATGGTATCCGATGTGCCATAAGAATCGCATCGATATTTCAGATGACTTTAGAGAGGGACGCATACGTCCAGGCGTTGTCTCGATTCACTTTACTGACCGCCACTTCCACTCCCAGCGAAATGAAGAGCAAAAATATTGATACTATTAAGACATTAATCACTGTCGCCCACACAGACGGCAACTATTTGGGCAAATCATGGCTTGAAATCTTACGGTGTATTTCACAGCTAGAATTGGCACAACTGATCGGCACTGGAGTTAAACCGCAACTCCTGGTGAATGGGACGCCAAACAGTAGCTCTCATTCATTCGCATTTCCCCTCAAATTGGAATCGATTTCTTCTTTTGCTGTCGACTCGCTCTCAATGTCCAGAAACAAAGAGAAGGATCAGAAGACATACGAGTCTATAGTGGAGACGTCATCGCAAAGCGTTGTGGTGGCTGTCGATCGCATATTCACCGGCTCTATAAGACTCGACGGCGACGCTATCGTAGACTTCGTTAAGGCTTTATGTCAGGTGTCGAGTGAAGAACTGTGTCATCCAACGCATCCCCGAATGTTTAGTCTCCAGAAAATAGTTGAGATTTCGTATTATAATATGGGAAGAATTCGTTTGCAATGGTCTCGTATTTGGGAAACATTGGGCCAACACTTCAATAAAGTTGGCTCTAATCCTAACGAAGAGATCGCGTTCTTCGCCATCGACTCATTGAGACAATTATCGATGAAATTCATAGAAAAGGGAGAGTTTTCTAACTATCGATTTCAGAAGGACTTCTTGAGACCTTTTGAACATATAATGAAAAGCAACGGTTCGATCGCCATTCGAGATATGGTGGTCCGATGTATCGCACAGATGGTCAACAGTCAGGCAAATAAGATCAGATCCGGTTGGAAGAACATCTTCAGTGTCTTCCGAATGGCCGCCTCTGATAACGACGAGTATATCATTGATTTGGCGTTTCAGACCACTTGTTATATCATTAACAATATATACGACCAGAGTTTCAATTCATTGATCGACTCGTTTCAGGACGCCATCAAATGTCTGTCAGAGTTTGCCTGTAATCCCAACTTTCCCGACACTAGTATGGAAGCCATTCGATTGATCCGGACGTGTGCTAAGTATGTGTCAGAACAGCCGCACCTCTTCCATGACTATAATATGGACGACCAAAGCAACAGTAGTCTCACGTCGGAGAAGGACAGGGTTTGGGTGAGGGGTTGGTTTCCCATACTCTTTGAGTTGTCATGCATTGTAAGCACCTGTAAGTTAGACGTGAGGACTCGTGCGCTGACAGTGATGTTTGAAATTACCAAATCTCACGGCTCGTCATTTTGTGACCACTGGTGGCAGGACTTGTTTCAGATAATCTTCAGAATATTCGATAACATGAAACTTCCCGAACAACACAACGAGAAGTCCGAATGGATGACCACAACATGCAATCATGCCTTATATTCAGTGATAGACGTCTTTACGCAATACTTCGACACATTGAGTCCATTGCTGTTGAGTGATGTCTATTTGCAGCTCTTGTGGTGCGTTCGTCAGCAGAACGAACAGTTGGCGCGTTCGGGAACTAATTGTCTCGAAAATCTGGTCATTTCTTGTGGTATGAAATATACGGAACAAACGTGGCTTAAGACCGCTGATTGCATTTTCGAGATGTTTGAGTCAACACTTCCTCAGGAACTGTTGGATTGGAAACCCAATGACATGACTTACTCGCCTTCAAAGAAGGCCGCAATTAATGCAAATCCTATAAACGACGAGAAGGACAGAGCGAACGCTACTAAACAAATGTTTAGTCGTTTGAAAATTCAATGCATTGTTCAGTTAGAATTGGTTCAAACCATTGATGATAT